AAACCCAAGAGGTTGGACAGGCGACCCTACTCCTTGCTACGTACAACCGGGGATTCGAAACCACGCCAATCGACTCAAAGACAGGCTTTATGATATAGCGCGCGCACGCTAACCATTAAGCCATCCAGCCCCCCTGTTTTGTGATGTGATTTTGTAAATGATGGAATATAGATTACCATATGATTTCTTTTTTCTTAAAATAGATTCCATGTTGTGGTCCCTCTAGCGGTCATAATTTTTATCCGATTTAAAAAAAAAACGTTCGAATATATCACCGTTGCACCATAGTGTTGGTTGTGTTCGAATATCGTGAAAATCGGATGAAAACTGCCAGACGAAATGGCCGCTCCCTGTACGTAAATGGTGTAAAAAAAAATATGGTATATCAAGGTTGTGGACCCTTTAGAGGTCACAATTTTGATCCGATTTTGATGAAACTTTAAATTTATCTTTACATCACAATGAACACGGTTCATTTCAATAATCCCCATATCCGAACGTAACTCCTGGATTATGGTCCCTGCTTTTTCGAAAAATCCCATTTTTAGCTTGTTGACCCGCTAGAAGTCACAATTGGTATTTTATTTTAAAAACTGTTTAAATATATCACGTCAATGAAGGTTGAGTGCGAATTTCGTAAAACTCTGACCAAAACAGCCGAACAAAATGGCCGCTTCTTGCACGCAAATTGTGTAAAAGTATCTACATGTAATACGAAGGTTGTGGATCCTCTAGTGGTCAAATTTTTATCCGATTTTGATATATCTTAATATCCCAAATATCTCAGTCCTTTCGACATTCGCACATTTCAGACCATAACTTCCTGGATTATGGCCCCTTTTATTTTTAGCTTGTTCTCTATCCATCTCTTGCAAAATGTGGGCGTATCTTGCCAATGAAATGAAATGAAATGGGGTTTAACGTCCTACTGTTCTGCTCCTATACTGGCCTAATAAAGACGGGCATACGCCATACAGTGTGCTATTAGGGAAATTTTGCCCAGACAGCGGCACTATGGCCTACTCTTATATCGAATTCCTAATGCCGAGGGATCTTTTTACGTGCATTCCAATATATACACGGGACCTCGGTTATTCGTCCCATCCGAACAACTAGAATGCTGTCCTTGTCAGGCCCTCCGTCCTGCATCATTGACAAGGGGAAACCACGCCGGAAAATCTGGATTAACTTTCTCGGCCAATGCAGGGATCGAACACCCGACCTGCAGGTCAGCGAGCCAGCGTCTTACCCACTTAGCCACGTGATCCCCCATCTTGACTAGGAACCGCTGATTAGTATAAATATGCCATTTACTTGGCAGTTATCTCGGGATTTGGGTTCCTGGTGTCATAAGCTTTCCAAATATGTATAGTTTGTTCAGCAGGGAGGACCTTGTAGTGGAACTTCACGATGGAAATTTTGGCTGCAGGCCAATGAATGTAGAACAATTAAAAATACATTTTGCAAGAGCTAAATCTGTCTATTGCAGGTCTTTCTTTAGGCCGGAAATGTTATCTAAATTATTAATTAGGCATTAATTAACTTATCCAGACCATAATCAACTCTAGATGGCATCGCTAACCTGCGATCTTAAGTGGATTGTGAGCCGATTTACTGCACTTTCCTTCTCGATTAAATGGATAATCGAGACTATGCTGTTTATCGTACTGACTTTAGTAATGATGACCAAGGCTAGGCAGAAATTTCATTCGCTTAGTTTTCGGTTCATAGTGGATCAATTTGAATGAAATTTTCAGCAAATTGCCTTTACGTTATTTTGTTTTTAACTATTATAGTGAGAACTGCCAACTCGTTATCGAATCTCCCATAATGTATCTTTAATAAATATATGGCAATTTTAGACCTTGACCTAATGAAATGTTATATGCTGTTTAATATGCATTGCCTGCACACTTTTGGGCAAAGAGCAAAAAAACAACCCATTTAACATTTAAAATAATCTAATTTTAATGAAAGTCCGGTCATATTACCTCCTAGTGTGCATATTTTTGCGGTAATCATCTACACTCAATCATGCAAAGATGGTTTGTTTAAATTTCAAGTAATTCGAAAAGCAATCCATTAAAGATGCATTATGCAAGATTTGGAAAAAAAAAATATATTCTAAAATTGCTATATTCTCAGCGGAGTTATGAATGTCTGAAGTTTTGACAAGAAATAGTCTCGATTGTCAAGTACCATTGTTACTATATTGGTGTGAAACATTGGATTCATGATAGGATAAGCCCTCTCTTTCTTTTTAGCTCTGCGGCCTTTTTCCGGAGTTACCTCTCTTTGCCGAAGACCTGGTTAACGCGATAGATAACCCTATTGATTTTCAGCAATCTAGGACTTTCTGTTCCCGAGATATTATTATGTGGCCATAAACGCTCGTGAACACAATAGGGATTAGATTTATTAAAGGGTGTGCATATTTCCACGCTTAGCATGGCTATTTTCTTTTAAAAATCAAAAAACAGACTGTACTGTTTCTGTGAGAACCCCGTATCAAAAGCGGCATTCTGTGCAGTTGAGAAATAATAAATATTGCTATTTGCATAACATAATTCAATAAATTCTTCCCACACGGAATTTCAGAGTTCTTGTTGGGGGTGGCAATGTAGTTTGGGATTCCCTCTTTCGATATATACTTATATACTTTTTAACCAATTAAGTAGCAACCCCAGCTCATTAGCGTTATCGCTAGAATTTTGTAAGTTTCAATGGGACAGTGAATTTATTTTTTTATTTCATTTAAACATACATTATGCAAGAGCTAAATCTGCATTTATCTAAATTATTAAATAGACATTAATTAACCTATCCAGACTGTAATCAACTCTTGATGGCATCGCTAGCCTGCGATGTTTATTGGGTTAGGGTTCCTATTTGCTGTTCGACTTCCATTCAAGATTTGATCATGAAATGGATAATCGATACTGTGTTTTTTATCGTACCGACTTTATTAATGATGATCCAGGCTAGGCCGAAAATTCCATCGCTAAAATCTCGGTTCAGAGTTTATCAATTTGACAGAAATTTTCAGCAAATTCCCTTTACATTATCTAGTTTTTAACTATTATAGTGAGAACTGAACTGCCAGCTATTTATCTAATCTCCTATAATGTATCTTTAAATCACCTTTCCATCGATATACCGGGTAAACTGTTCCCATGCAAAAGATAAGTGGACACCAAAGCTGTAAACGTTTTGATCGATCCAATATTCCAAATCCAGCGAGTAATACAAGAACTCACTTGAATGATTCATAGAAAAAAACAATATAGCTAAATAATATACAAAAAATAAAATTGAAAAAAAAATCGAATTTGATGTCATGGAAAAACGCTTTAGTAATCTCTTCTTTCAGGCGACATTACCCTATAATGATGACTTATAAATGAAGACCAACCCAGCTATCATGTCCTTCAAAATTACTTTCTAGTGAACTGTGATTAAATGGCAAATGAATTAAGAAGGCTGTGTGCCATGTTTATTCTAACACAGGACAGGAACGATTTATGAAAATTTCAATTTGCAAGAGTTACCGCGACAACTGTTTGCGCCCACTTAATTTCATAGCCTGGGTAGAAATGTAATTCTTGGGACGTATCTGAAACCGGATTTACGCAAAGGTAATCAAGTACTACCTGGTCTATCATTTCCCCTAATACTAAATTTGATTAAATTCGCTTAGGCGGTTGAATCTAGAATGGTTACGGCAGGGAAAATAACTCTGGAACTGCTTTTGCAAAAAATATAGGGGCTTGTACCACATTGCTAATTATTTCTGAATATGGGATTATAATTGGTAAGAGTCGAGCTAGGCTCTCCAAATCTGTATCTTCATTACAGATCCATGATGTCTTGTATGGTTTCAATCCGATCTTCGAAAAACAGCCACCATCAAATTGAATGTGGTCCGGTAGATATTATTTACTTGACTGGATTATTGTACGCCCCTCTTCATTGGCCCAGTCGGAGCCGAAAAGTAAAACGTTTAACCCCATTTTATCCCATTGCACTTGATCGGTCAGTCTGCAAACAACTATACCCTAGACCCAAACATTGTAATAGTAAGGAAACCGCGTGTCTTTTTTTTCCTAGGAATTAGCTGAAAGGGGGGGGGGGGATTTCACTCATGTCTCATAATGGGTACAAAAGCCTATGACCAAGTTTGTAGTACGAAACATTTGACATCACTTAACCACTTTTTAAATTTACAGGGCACTTTATTAACGTCAAATCCAGATGGACCTCTAATATGCACCTCTAATATGTCTTCAGCAACTACAGTTAAATATGGGGGTCGCGGTGGCTAAGTGGGTAAGACGCTGGCTCGCTAGTCTGGAGGTCGGGTGTTCGATCCCTGCATTGGCGGAGAAAGTTCATCCAGATTTTTACAGTGTGGATCCCCCTTGTCAGTGATGCAGGACGGGGGCCTGACAAGGACAGCTGTCTAGTCGTTCGGATGGTACGAAAAACCGAAGTCCCGTGCACACATTGGTGTGCACGTAAAAAGATCCCTCGGCATTAGGAATTCGATATAAGAGTAGGCCATAGTGCCGCTGTCCGGGCAAAATTTCCCTCACTGTATGGCGTATGCCCGTCTTCATTAACCCAGTTCGGAGCGACACAGCAGGACGTTAAACCCCATTTCATTTCATTTACAGTTAAATATGTGTATTACTCCCAGTCAATAGATGTTGATAAATCCGGATTGTCCTCGGCCATCGCCGGTATTTAAAACCGGGATAGCGCGCCCAGTCTGTAGAATGTAATTTTGATAAGATTCTTCTACCTGATTTCCCCTTTTCAGGGATGTGGAGTGGAGGGCGTGACAAGAAACGCGTTTAATCGTTCAGGTGGTATTGACATGCACATAACATAGGCCCGTGTTAGACCGGTTGGTGGAACCCCATGTCATTATATTTCTTTGGTTTGTTGACCTCTCAAGGACAGAAAGAATATGAGTATTAAGAACAAAAAGCATACGATGGTGAAGTAAACGCCATTGATTGTATTCGGTGTTAAATAATAACCCTATCTAACCACGATTTCAAGTTCATTACATTGGCGTATACACCCGGATTATCTGGTCGTGCACATCCATTCCCAAAAGAAACTAAGCCTGCTAACACCCAAGAATCACCTTTGGCACACATAAATGGGCCTCCTGAATCACCCTAAAATAAAATAAAATGAAAGATGATTATACGATGCAGATCTTGGTAAGGATAAGCTTACACACCCTAAAACGAATCCGGCTCAACACGATGTGTTAATTTCTTAAAATCGGATTATCGCAGCCCTGATTACCAAACTGAACCCATTATGCACTGATATATTAAAAGGCTACAAAATGCTCAAATTTAGAGCATGTTTACACTAATAGTTTTGGGAAACATCCACTGATTTCTATAATACAGAAATATGGAAGGTTAAAGTAGCTAAGTCTCTAACTCAATATCTTCGACACTGAAAACCCGAATTATTTGTCAATTTAAATCTACATTGATGTTGTGATCTTATCGGAAAAAGATGGGCTTCTGATATCCAATACATGTATTTAATACAAAGTAAAAAGTGTACCATAATGCCGATAAGCGCCATTTGTAACAAGGAACTTGAAGAACGAGGCTAGATATATTCCGCAAGTAATATTAAACGGTGACCTCATATTAATATCTGCTGAGCATGCGCAGTGTAGACTGGTATAACCAGACGCTAGAGACTGCCATTCGATCGAGACTTCTGGCGTATTTCACCGAACATAACTGATTAGAAGTCACAGTTAAAATAAAAACGATTGAATGTAAATCAGTTTATATACATTCATATTACATTATTATATGCGTTGCTACCCATTTGTGTCCATGTGTAGGTCCTGAATATTAGCGATTTAGCTCCTTTAACTGTGATTACTCATCATACCGAATTTGTTGAGCTGCGGGGCCTATTTTTATTGTGGGGCCAAATTTGGGGAAATTGGTCAAATGTGCCAAAACCCGACCCTGCCGCTCTCACAGTCTACACACATGTATTGTAAACCGTGATTGATTAATTTCAATTTCGATGACAAATAGGGAGACCATAATTTGTGACCAGATGTAACATTGTTGTGTCCATTACGGTATTTTAATTTTTTGTATGACATAGATCGGTCATTATATTCAAGGGAGATAACTCATAATTTCAAAACTACAGTTTTATTTTGTCTATTCTCATTTTTACTCTTTAAAATCTATGCCACTGTTTGTGAACAATTTTATACATATCTGAATTATGCGCCAATGGAAATATTTTTGGACCAAGAACTCGGCTTCAAGCGTTAATCGTTTTGTTGTTTTTCTTGGGGCGACTCTCTTCCAAAAAAAAAAACGTATTCGCATATTCAATTACTATCGACATTTTTGATATGACGTTATAATTCAAAGATGGCGATATGTTCGGTTCTTGGCCCATATAGTACTACCGGTGCAGCACAAAAATAAAAGGTGAAATCCCATTTGAATTCACTTGTTTCGTTACTGGTATTGTTGTTAAAATTTTTGGGAAAAAATCTCGATGTCAATATGCAAAAGTACAAATTCGCAACCGAAAAGGAGCATCGGGTTACTTTGTAATATTATAAATATCCTGTATCGTTGCCGGCTGTTTTATGTGACTAAGAATTATTAATATTGAAATGAATTAAATGTCATGCTGTATATCGACGGATTACCTGACAAGCATCTATTCCACCTGTAGAATAACCTGCACACAACTTCCTTTCGTTCATCATATAATCGCCATAAGCCGATGAACAGGCGTCCTGGTTCATAATAGGTATCACAGCCTCTTGTAAACTGGTTGATCCCCGCCTCGAACCTTCTGAAAATATGATCGTTCATTAAAGATGCGTTACGTAAATCTGCCTGATACAGGGTTATATTTTGGCTTCAAATGATATATAAATTATTGTTTAGACATTTATTAACATGACAGGCCTATATAATCAACTCTCTAAATCATCGGATTTAAAAACAGAGAAGCCATTCCATGTCTCGATCAGTAAGATGAGTTGCTGCGATAATAAGCAGTGATAACGTCGATCAGAATTGAGTAATTTGAATGGAATTTTCAATATATTAATTTTGAATGAACTATTTTTGAACTATTATAGCAAGAACGACCAGCTCTAATCTGAATCTTACATGATGCATCTTTAAGTAGAACCTTAAAGGCTCAATACCACTCTTGTTGTAACTGAATAATATGTCCCAATCTTTATTCTGGTCAACAAATTGCACTATTTTACAATATTCCAATTAATTGATGATACAAATTTGATCTTAACACACCTAATTAAAAAAATTGGAAAAATTCAACTAAATGATTTGAAAAGCCTGACGTAAAGCTTTTCAAATGTAACGTGGATTTAAAAATATTTTTGAACCCTCTGGACAAGTAAAATAGGATTTAATGGATAATTTACACAACAGGTAGGACACTTACACATCTAGTACTTAGAATAAGGCTATTTTTGTATTTTCTGGAGCTGTCAAGCCAGCAAGAGTGTTATTGTCCCTTTAAAACCGATTAGTTATATCGGAGAAGTCATTACTTTGGGTGGTCATATTCCAGAAAAATTCCCTTTCTTTGTTGGCCTTCGTTTGTGGAGTCCAGGGGTGTCTGCGAACTTACCAGAAAGCCACAGTGACTCAGTGAGTAAGACGTTGACTTGCTTACCTGGAAAACCCGTGTTCGACGCCGGCCGATAAAGTTCATCGTGATTTTTAAGCCTAGTGCGTGTAGTCGCTTAGGTAGGACGAAAACCGAGCTTCTGTGTACATATTGGCGTGTGCGTAAAAGAACCCTTGGCAGTTCGAATTAGAGAAAGTAAGAGTAGGCCGTAGCACCGTTGTTCCTGAAAAATTCCTCTCATGGCTTCTGTCCGCCTCCATCAGCCCAGTGGGCGCAGAAAAGACTTTAACCCCATTTCATTATCACGAAGTTACTAGCCTCTGTCACCCAGTATATGTCCACAACCACTAGGGGTACCTTCAGCACCAAACGCGCCTGTGACTTGGGTTACTTTTCTGAATTGATAGCTGATTAGCAGTAGATATTTGCCCCGGTCCTTATAATTAAACACTCTGCTCCTGCTTGCACATGTACAGGTTATGAAACTATAATCTACAATCTGCATTGTATTAAGTTATGTGGTTTGCGAGCTATCGGGATATTTTTAATTCGAAGCAGCACAAATTTTCATACATTTTGAGTTGGCTTCCGAACATGCAGAATGTTTGAAAATTCGTTGATCATGCTAATGCTCTAAACAGAAATTTATAACCGTGAGTGACTAACAAAAGCCTCTGTCTTACCTATTTGCGCTCCCCACCCTGCCACAACACACTGAACACCGGCCTCAATCGATAAACCGGGGGATGGCAGACATATGGGTTTCATACACGGATTATCATCTGGTAGTGGAAACTGTAGGGTTAATACAGCTATATCATAATCTGTAACAGAATACACATTTCAAATTTCTTTGGTGTGTGTCCTTTCGAGGAAATTACATATTTAATAATTTGAAATGACAATACCTCAAGCAACCTTTTTGTCGATTTCACTGGATTTTACATGCTGATATTTTCCATATCTCCAATATGTGCTGATTCAGAATCTGGATGCTGCTACCTTAGCAACCAATTATAGATGCCAGGAACTTCCACAGCAGTTTGATTGAGGTAACCGATAAATTTAACGTTTAATATTCCAAAGATATGGCAATATATTCCAGCTGATCGGTGGCAGCCATCTTGTTTCCCTTTTCCACATTTTTGTCTGACATTTTTGTACTAATTAAAATTATCAAAATTTTATAGTTAAATATATTGCAATCTCTGGTAGAACATACACATGGACAATTCAACATGACAAAAAAAAAAGATTATGTTTCGTGGCGGCCATCTTGGATATTTTGATTTCCCCACGGATGCAAAGATGGCATCATCCGGATTCTGAATCTGCACATATTTCAGATATTATATAATCCACCACTAAACCGTACATTCTATTGGGTTGAACTGTATAAGTTCGGAAAGCACAAATACTGTATTCAGTACTTTTGTAGGAAGAAAATATGGCTATAGAATGCCACAAGTTGCTATATTAACGCCGGTTTAATAAACGGAAACGAACACTTACCAAAGGTAGATGGATTATAATTCGGATGCCTATCGATTAACTGGACTTTATAATAACTGAGTTTGGTTTTATTAGATGAACCAACGCCTACTTCCACTTGAGAAGCTGGGATAAGATAATTACCACTTCTGTTAAAATACAATTCAGATGGCATAAATACGGCTTCTGTCAATAAATCATAGCATAGTGGGGTATGATAAATACGGCCTCTGTCAATTAATCATATCATATGTCAGTTAATCATATCATAGTGGGATATGATAACTACGACTCTTACAAATAGCATAGAATGACACGATAACTGCTACTCATACAAATATGTTATATAGATATTAATTAGCCCAGTCGGAGCAGAACAGTAGGGGGGATTAATGGTTAGCACGTTATTGAGTCAACTGGCGTGGTTTCGAATCCCCGGTTGTACGTGACGAGGAGTAGGGTCGCATGTCCAACCTCGTGGGTTTTCTCCGGGTCCTCCGGTTTCCTCCCACTGTTAAAGACCCCTATGCGCTGCGAATTATTGAAATAAAATTGAACCATGTGTTAGTCCCGAAATCGAAATGACCTAGTTTGTGTCGAGTGGACGTTAAACCCCATTTCTCTCCCTCTCTCGGTATCATTACCAAGTTACCTTAAACAATGAGCAGCTGTCACTATGTGTCGATTATCAATGATACTTCCGCCACACTGGTACAGACCGGATATAACATGTACTACCCATGGATATTTACATTCTGCAGCTGCCGTACCCCCGACAACCCTTCCTGCATTTGATCGTAAAAACTGTGTCGCAGACCCGGTTAACTGACTGATACCACAACCTGAAGGAAATCATTAAAACATGCAATCATTGTGCTACTTTACTACGGAGCGAAATGGAAATAACACTTCAATAGTTTCAACCAATAAAAGCTATATCAAAGAAAACATCCGCCATTTGCATTTTTCGCTCAAATATCAAATATGTCATGTCTTAATCCACGCCAATATCTACTCAGACTGATTTTTTTAACATTTGATTTAAAAAAAAAATCAAAATACCAACGGATTTAAAATCTGCTTATAATTAAACATTTTCGGGGACAACAAAATTGCGCCGTGCGTATTACATAGTGAACAGCAGCATAGATCTATGAAATTTGAATTCCTCATTATATCTGTGTAAATATTAAACATAATTGAACCTTTTATCGACTGATATTCCGATTAGAGATTCATCTTTCACAATATTGTAGTTTGGAAGTGGATATTTCGGCTATTTGTTCGGCATATTAATTGATTTGATTCTACTATAAGAAGAGAACATTCGCGGTCGGATTTACCTACAGTCTCGCCAGGTAATGTAAATAGACTGAGATACATAGATGACATCAGTGGGGCGTGTCTCAACTATGATTCTCCGCCAGTTACACACATACTTTTGTAAAGATAATACGTGTTTAAAATGAATTGTGGGACTGCATTACTTTGACTTCGGGACGATGAGTCAAAATTTGACAATAACCGGTTGTTTGCGTCTTCGTAAAATGTAACTGGTGATATACTGCATAGCATGTTTTGTTAATAGAAATGATTGAACTGCTTTGACTTCGGGAAGATGAGTCAGGGTCTTGACAATAACCGTTTTTTGCACGTTGTCTTCGCCAAGTGTGTCTGGTGATTTGTATTGAAACATATGTATCTGTCGCATGTAATTGTTCAAGATCATCCAGGCACATTCTTATGAGTGATACAGTCTCATTATATTACTCGATCCAATGCATATTTTATGTTTTGGAACTATGTCCCAAAAAATGGGATGCTGCTCTTTAATAGGTTAATACAAATATACGTGTGGCACGTAATAAAGCAGTATTTTATACATACCTGTAGATGTGGATGGTTGTGGAGTTGATGTAATAAATTTGGCCGGAAGTGTAACACCTAAAACAAATTTGTAAGTTATATTATAATATACGGTTCTTATTTCGGGGGGGGGGGGGGTGGCTGGCCGAATGGTTAGCACGTGAGCGCTGTATCATAAAGCCTGTCATTGAGTCAGCTGGCGTGGTTTCGATTCTCCGGTTGTACGTGACAAGGAGTAGGGTCGTCTGTCCAACCTCGTGGGTTTTCTCCGGGTCCTCCGGTTTCCTCCCACTGCTAAAGACCTCTACGCGCAAGCGAATTATTGAAATAATATCAAACCATATGTTAGTTCTAAGGAATATACCAATAGTGACAGAACAGGGATGGGGTCTGGATTCGCCGATAGTGACATGTCAGGGGTAAAGGATCTGACTTGTAGGAACATACCAATGGTGACAGAGTAGCACCGATAGTCAAAACCGCAGAGGTAAGGGTCTGGATTTTAGTAAAAAGACGATTTACAAATATATGAAATTTCTGGGCGACAAAACCCAGAACAATTATTTCGTATGGTATAACATGAATATAAAAAAAGGTTAAAGTTGGACAAGACTACAAGTCTATAATTTTTTTGAATAATAGGGTTTGACGTCCACTCGACACAAACTAGGCCATTTCGGGACTAACATGGTTTAATTGTATTTCAAAAATTCGCTTACGCGTTGTGTTCTATAGCAGTGGGAGGACCCGGGAAAAAACCCACGCGGTTGGACAGGTGATCCTACTCCTTGTCAGGTACAAGCGGGGAATCGACAAACCTTCTGATCCATCGCGGCAGCGTTAACCATTCGGCCGCCCAACTCCGCTAAAGTGGGGCGTATTACAGTGGACGGTCCACCATGACGACAATTGAACCAGAACCAGCATTTGTCGATTTAAAGGTTAGACGCACGAATAACTAAATAAACAAACTTGCTAAAATACTGAAAACAATCACAATTGTTAGCCGCAGAGGTTTTATATTTAAATATAGATAGTTTTGGTGACGCCGACAGGCCATTCTAAGGCTCGGTGCTGCATTTGCATTTTGTCTCAAAATAAATTTTCGCACGGCTTAATACACGCTAAATATCTACCCAGATTGATTATTTAACTTTTAGATAGTAATCTCCCGGTTTGATTTCAATCGATTTTAAACTAGGCCCATGATGATTCTCCGATACCAATAAAAGAATGCATCGTCTTGTTACATAGCGAACCCGAAAATCAATGAAATTTCAATTTATCATAATTTGTATATACTAAACAGAATTGTACCATTTTGGGACTAATATTCCTATTACAGATTAAAGAGATGCACATTATGGAAGATTAGATGAAGAGCGAGTCGTTATCACTATAATAGTTAAATGATAGATAATGTTACGGGAATATTCTGAAAATTTCAGTCAAATTACTTCAGTCTAAGCTGAGAAATACTCCATTTAAAAACCCTGTAGCCTCGATTGTCACTGTTGCCGTTGTGACGAAAATAAAACAAGTCTCGATTATCCAGTTTTTCGGTTAAACTTCAATAGCTGTTGAAAGTTGGATCGGATTCAAATTAATGAAAATCGGAAGCATCAGATTGTATCGAAAGTTGATTATGGTCTTGCCATGCTAATAAATGTCTAATTAATAGTTTTAAAACATTTCAGGCCTAAAGAAAGTCCTGCAATAAGTAGATTTAGCGCTTGCATAATGTGTGTTTAAGCTTTCACAATAATAGTGTAGTTTACCAAGGATTCATGCAGAGGTAAATGTCACATTGATCCTTTAAGGACATAAATTTATCATTTTACTAAACGTTAATCCCATTAGCTGCACTAATCTATCGTGTGTAAGAAAATAACCTTTAATTCGTTGTTTTGGAAAGCAATCGCTATTTGTCAATTTTGTTATTATCAGTAGAGGGAATAAACTCCATGTGAAATATTAATAGGCACCAGCTTATTTGAAAAGCACAGGCTTGATAACCACCTTGTGGATTCCTCTCTGCACTCATTGATTGTGCACAGAAACAAAATTTGGAAACCCGGGGAAAAAAGAAGTTCGTGACTCGCACAGATAACATGCCTTGTTGTGACCCATAACGCACGCGTTATACCAGACTATCCAACGCACAATGTTTAACGCATGTATCCACTATAGAACACTATAAAACAGTCTGTAAAACACTAAATCGGTTAATTATATCAGAACTTATGGAATTCAGAGACCACAGTTGCTAAATAAGTAAGGTGCTCACACACAAGCCAGGATGTCTTGGCTTCGATAAAGGTGTTGACCGAGAAAGTTCCCGGGGATTTTCCAGTGTGCTTTTACCTGGTTAATTACTACAGGACGGAGCGTCTGACAAGAATAAGCCTGTAGTCGATCTGATGGATCGAAAAACCGAGGCCCAGGTACACGTTGGTGTGTACGTAAAGGAACCCTTGACAGAATGTTGCCCGGGCCCAAAAGTTCCATCATAATTCACTGGTTGTTGCAGAAATGTAGGACGTTAAACCCCATTCCATTTGTTCATTCCTTATGTTGTTTGGGTCAATGGCTTAATTTATCCGGGTGTTTATACAAAACTCTCAGTTTCAGATACGAATAAGTGGTTGGTGACCTATTTCTGCTGGAAGGGGCATGTCCTTATGATTCTCGACTGTCTAACACGACATAAGTACACTGCTAACAATGGAACAACACTGAAGTATGCGTAATTATAATGTAAATACTTCGTATATAGATCATTAAACGTACTCGGTTTCTAAGGTATATTTACTGGGTTAATTTCTAAAACACAAATACTTATGTATGACGTGTCTCGTCCTCGGGATTTCTATTTGATTGTTAAGTGTCATGCTATTCTCCTTCACTTACTCTCAGATTTTAAAACGGAAAAAGACACACGAACTGCAAATTGCGAATTAATGTGTGAAAATCGATAACTGGATTAATTTAATATAAATATGTAGTCGTGGGAAACAGGAAAACAAATATTTAAAGAAACATTTATGCGAAACAAAATATATCATAAAATATATCATAAAATATATCATAATTCATTAAAGTATTTCCAGTTAGAGCTAGGCGTATATTAAAGCTGAATGGATTGTGTAAAAGCTATGTCAGAGACATTATGATGCATATCAATCAAGGCATCAGGGGGTGATAGCCACAAGTTGAAATCTGTATTTGGATAGATTATATTCACGGCATCGGACTCTAATTCTGGTAAGTTCTGTGTTCAAAGACACAGAGTAAATCGTTCAAATAATATATCTTCATCGTGACAAATATGTACATTTTGAACGCAAAATAATATTGGGGAGAAAAAGATAGCAGAATTATTATTCCCTATAAAGATGGCGGTAAGAATTAATGGGGACCGAATTAATTATGTAAACATCATTAATCCATTGGACCTAATTGTAAATGCAACCCTTATACCTACCGTATCTGTTACAGGTACAATTCTGGAAAAAACGGAGTCCTGCTAGTTGAAATAAAGAACTCGCTTGGTACGTCAACATCGAATAATATGTACAACTTCTGTAGTCACATCCTGAAAACAAATAATATATATGCATATATACTATATAATATCACACTATTAATTAATATAATGTATTACTATTCATTAAAATACTATTCATTAAAGTACATAGTATATCATACTATTCATTAAAATATATAACATACTATTCATTAAAATACTTAGTATATCAAAGTAGTCATTAAAATACTGTACATTAAAATACATAGTATATCGAAGTAGTCATTAAAATATATAGTATATCATACTATTCATTAAAATACACAGTACATTATACTATTCATTAAAAATAATTATCATACTATTCATTAAAATAATTATCATATTATATATCATAATATATGAAATACATTTTAATGATATATAGTATGATATATTTTAATGAATAGCATGATATATTATATAAATGAATAGTATGATATAATATAATATATTAATAAAGTGTATGATATTGACTATTACTGAATAATGATATGATATATATTTTAATGAATAGTATGAAATACTATGTATTTTAATGAATAGCATGGTATATTATATTAATGAATAGCATGGTATATTATATTAATGAATAGTATGATACTGTATTTTAATGAATATAATTTATTATTAATAGAATATATACATCATAGTATTCATTAATATATACATACGATTCAATAATATCATTTTGAAATGTCCTTTAATTATTTTTAATATATTTTATAGTCTTTGGTTTTTTCGAATTTTACTTACTTAAACAGAAGCAAATATAAATAAACAAATAGATTCCAAGTCATGTTGGATAGTATGAATATCTAATAAATGCTTTAGGTGAAATTGATTTAAAACTATGATTTTAATCCTGGATTTTCTTTTGATCGTAGAAATGTGCTAGTTTAAATAATTTCAAATGATTTCAATCCTAGATATTCTTTTGATCGTTGAAATGTGCTAGTTTAATTCATTTCAAATTATGATTTTGATCGTTGAAATGTGCTAGTTTAATAATAAAAGAAAATATAGCCTTATACTATATATTCATTTGCTTTAGAAAATGCACTAGTCTAAAGATTTTATTTTTAGATGTAGCCTTTTACTATATTTATTTTTTTATTTTTTTTAAAGAGAATTGTCATTTTTATTCTAATCTTAATTCCGGAGATAATTTGATAAAAATAACGTAAATATCTATCTAAGTTTATTAACACATTTTATGGCATATAACTATCATAAACATTATATTTTAAGCAATATGAAAGATTAACTTACTTGGTTGGGAAACTGCAGAGTTTGTGGATGATAATTGGATGTATAAAACAACTAATGTTATTAGTATTCCTGGTTTTGGTTTGGCGGCATATCGGTAAACTTTCTCCATGTTTTTGGTATGTTATTTAATTTTAAGCTTGTTACATTGACTTTGTCTGTTAGTTGCCGTACTTGATGTTACTCTTTGAAAGGGTGGAGACCGAACTGCGACGTTCTGTGATAACATCCTATTATATATAATGTCGCCTGAGTTTCAAGGTCAGCTTACTCTATCTTTGATAAAATTGTTAAGGATTACCGAAGGGCGCTAGAACAGGAAAACTTATCTATTTTCAACATCTGTTATTGTTAAAGATGATGTAAAAATTTCTACGTCACTTTATGTAAAGGTAGGCTTACTATGTATGTATATTTCAGCTACCGCAACATGCCTACAGTTTGGAGAGCCACGGTGGTTCAGTGGGTATGACGTTGACTAGCTAAGCTGGAGGTCCCGTGATCCATCCCTACCTTGGCCAAAAAAGGTCACAGGGATTTTCCAGGGTGGTTCCTCCTTGTCAGTGATGCAGGACAAAGAGCCTTAAAAGGGACAACGTATAGTCGTTCGGATGGGACGAATCCGGAGAAAAACAGTACACAGTGGCGTGCACGTAAAAGATCCCTTGGCAACTGTTGAAATTCAATATGAGTATGCTGTAGCGCTGCTGTCCGGGCAAAATTTCCCTCATAGCACACTGTAACGTGTTTGTTCGTCTCCAATCGCCCAGTCGTAGTAGAATATTTGCCTACAATTTGCTTACACAACTCAATTCATACCACGTGTTCACTTTCCCCTATTTAGGTATCTGTGCCATTATTTCCGGTGTCATGGTTGCCGTGCCATTATTAGCACACCTTTACAAACATGCGTAAAACAACAGATTGTCATTAAGTGGCGTGGTTTCGACCGTAAGGTTGGTTGTATGTGACAAGGACTAGGGTCGCCTGCCCAACCCTATGGGATTTCTCCACGTCCCCCGGATTCCTCCCACGGCTATAGATCAGTACTCGAAAGAAGCAAATTATTAAAATAAAATTGTACCATGTGTGTTTTTCCGAAATGGCTTAATTTGTTTCGATTGGACGTTAATCACAGGACCTTCTCGTTAGTGCGCCAGCAACATACTCACTTAGCCACCGAGGCTACCTTTCGGAAGTCAAAAGAACTGAACAAAATCAACTGTTGCTATTGGACATGTTATTTTCATGATCTTTGAATCATTCTCCATACTAATCATTTTATTTTATGTCAATTGTATCATTTTCTTTTTAAATCCTAACCATAATTAATTAAACTGGACAAGGTGTTTCTATTCATTTGATAAGAGTTATCTCTCTTTACTCTAACGTTTTTCTAATGTTAAGCCAGGATTCTTATTACATGAAATTTTAACGTACTCAAACACCAATCGTCATCCAAATAGGATCATTACATATATGTGACTGGAATACGTCGTATCAACACCTCGTTCTTGAGACATAATTGTTATTCATTTTCCCGAATTTCCACCGTGTTAGTGGTGTAGGACGGGGAGTGTGTGTGTGTGTGTGGGGGGGGGGCTGGTACGGAAAACCGAGATCCTGTGTACACAATGGCGTGCACGTAACAGAACCCTTGACAGTCTGAATTCGAAATAAGAGTAGGCCATACCGCCACCGTCATGGCAAAAATTCTCTCATAGCACACGGCGTGGTGTATGCCCGTTTTCATTAGCCCAGTCGGAGCAGAAAAGTAGGACGTTAAACCCCATTTCATTTTTATTCAACTGATATTTCAATAACGCAGTGATTGTGGTTGGGTTTCGTTTATTTATTTGTTATTAAAAAATGGAAACAGTTTATAAAACCCAAACTGGAGTTTTAACAATAATCTAACATATAAATCAGGTGTGGACCATGAGAAATACGGTTTTAACGAACAGCAAATGTGTAGAGGGGCCTTAAGGGAATACAGAGTATGTTTGAACAAATAAATAGTGGATACAATAGAAGTTTACATTGAAAAGCCTTCGAGTAGTTGGTTGAATACTTAATGTCGATGTAACCACTTGAAGACAGTTCTGTCAATAAGAAAAGAAGAGGCAATTATTAGAGGATCTTAGATCTGAACAATATGTACATGCACACGGTATCTCAATAAATTCTATTCTTTTAATTGACGCTAAGACGACTTTTATTCTATATAAATAAAGACCTATTGGAGAATTGTTCTTTTATATAATAGACTTAATCTCCTTTAATAGAGATGTACAAAAAATCTTAGCAGTGACTCAGTGAGACATTTTGTTTGATCTTACACGCCATAATGACTCCCTATTTGATATCACGGATAGGGCCAAGGATTGGTATCAAATTGCATGCATACGAAAGCCCCCTGTAAAGCCAATTCCCGCACCCTGGCGCCCACTTCACTGATAGTAAATTCTTTGGTCCAATGTGCAAAATATGATTAGATATAAAACACCCGAGATTTTGTGTTTTTTTAAGACATTTTTTATTCACTATAAATGAATGCGGGATTAGGGGAACAGGCAAAATGCCTATGTCATTCCCCTATCCTTGTTTACAATACATATTATAATATGCTAATAATGAAAAGCAGTCCATACACTATATACAACCTGTACTAAGCTGAATAATAATAATAATAATAATAACTTAAATCGTGTTGTTGTTCTTATACTCACCAGGTAATGTAGGAAAGGTTTTTCGTCGAAAAGTATTGAAGTATTGAGTTAGTGCAGATAGGGAGATGCTAATTGTAGACCAGTTTGGGAGGTTCGGGAATTTCCGGAATCCACAAATTTCGTAATACCAGTCATAACCCTTTTTAGACGAATGAACTTCCCTAAAATACCCCGGAAATTCCCGAACCTCCCCAACCGGCCTACAATTGGCATCTCCCGTGCAGATAGTATATGTGGGACTCGGTCATGTGCGATAAGTATGATAAGAACAGTGAAGATCTTAAAAGCTACGTATATTAGAACGTATCATAAACATAAACAACATGTTATGATTTGAATGATATATTTTACACCAGGTAAACTATTTATATAATGAAAATTCATAAAATAAAAACGATTTATAAAACAAAAACAATTTATAAAGCAAATTATAAAATGAAAACAAAATATGAAACAATTTAAAAAATATATCCATTTTGTCATTTATAATTTATCAGATTGAAAACCTTTTGTACAATGAAAACAAAATATAAAGCAATTTAAAAAGTATAAACATTTTTTCATTTTAAAAATTTAAATTTGAGGTAATTTAAATGTGAAGTAAACTTTATATAAAATATAAAGCAATTTAAGAAGTATAAACATTTTTTTCATTTTATAAATTTAAATTTTGGGTAATTTAAATGTGAAGTAAGCTTTAAAATAAGTCTATTTAGAGCTTTAAAATACCTGTATGGAAAATAACTTCTGTTAGTAATTCATATAATTGTGAAAACTATAAAAAGAATAATCAAGCCAATCAGTTTTTTATAAGTTCTTATCATTTAGATCCGATAAAAGTACATCTCAAGCTTGTCGACTATGCATAAATTAAACTAACCTACTAATAATAGAATTTAGTACTTATCAGGTATATAGTACGCGAAGGTCAAATACCATGGGCTATTGTTACAACGCCACAAAAGAGGTTACTATTTGACGGGTTTGTTATCAAGGCGAAGCCTGTTAAGTCTACGTGATTTTCTCTTTTTTTTCCGACTGTACAGTACATCCACCTACCCGGGTATACATGATGCGCTGCTTTGGTTTATTTCATAAAATTGGTATTACAGTTAACAGTCCTTTCAATACATTCAACCCACGCCAACACCAAAATATAAATCTATACTTTAGAAGGTTAAGCTATTTATGTGTGGTTGCTGTTTCAAAACAAATGTTGATTCTTATTCCGTCGAGTCTTGCGTACTCTCCATGGTCTCATAAAGTGAGTTATTCCCCTTAGCAACAGCAATATCTGTAAATATTATTACATCAAAATACTATTAATGTTAAAACCATAGTAGCAACCATTCAATTGAATTAAATATATTTAGTTTATCTATGCTAGGTCTATAATTGTTTTGTAATGATATTACAAATTATCGTTTGCATTGAGACCAACATGTTTAACACAACTGTCTGCAAAAAGGCACCAAAAATAATAGGTATATATAGCAATGTCCTTTGCGACGGTCGATAATTCTTTGTTTCACGCTGTTTTACAAAATTGACTTCTCCAAGGACCTAATATGACTGCAATATAACTCAATGCATTACTGTTCTTTTAAATATGTTTTATAAGCTGGATAAATACATCATTACTACCTATAGTAGCAACCATTCAATTGAATTAAATATATTTAGTTTATCTATGCTAGGTCTATAATTGTTTTGTAATGATATTACAAATTATCGTTTGCATTGAGACCAACATGTTTAACACAACTGTCTGCAAAAAGGCACCAAAAATAATAGGTATATATAGCAATGTCCTTTGCGACGGTCGATAATTCTTTGTTTCACGCTGTTTTACAAAATTGACTTCTCCAAGGACCTAATATGACTGCAATATAACTCAATGCATTACTGTTCTTTTAAATATGTTTTATAAGCTGGATAAATAGCTACAGCATAAGTCTAATGAACTAAAAAATGAAACGGCTTTCAATCGCCCTCAACTCCGCCCATGCCAGAGCAGCTAAAGTATGAACAACTTACATCATTACTACCTATAGTAGCAACCATTCAATTGAATTAAATATATTTAGTTTATCTATGCTAGGTCTATAATTGTTTTGTAATGATATTACAAATTATCGTTTGCATTGAGACCAACATGTTTAACACAACTGTCTGCAAAAAGGCACCAAAAATAATAGGTATATATAGCAATGTCCTTTGCGACGGTCGATAATTCTTTGTTTCACGCTGTTTTACAAAATTGACTTCTCCAAGGACCTAATATGACTGCAATATAACTCAATGCATTACTGTTCTTTTAAATATGTTTTATAAGCTGGATAAATAGCTACAGCATAAGTCTAATGAACTAAAAAATGAAACGGCTTTCAATCGCCCTCAACTCCGCCCATGCCAGAGCAGCTAAAGTATGAACAACTTACATCATTACTACCTATTGATGTGAAAAA